GATAAACATTAAGTTACTTCCCCCCCCCCCCCCCACAACAAAACAACACCAAGAACCAGAACTTGCACTGGGGATGGGCAGCACAGCCTTTTAAGACAAAACCTAACATCTGATACAAGACCAAGCATGTCAGAGTACCTAATTCCAAAATGTAATCAGTCTATTGCCCCACTTGAAGCCAACTTCGTTTTGAAGGTTACTGCTTGCATCAAAGATATTTTGGAATTTCCCAACCTGGTCTTGAAACCATGTCACATACTTCAATATGACTATTTCATTTTAACTGTAGCCTTTTGCCCTTAAACGACACAGTAGCATACAGATTGCGTCAGTGTCACAGAAAGGCAAATCAGTAACAATGATTTGTTCCTCTACACCAGTGAGGCTTTCCTTATCCCAGATTTGGAAACCGTAGTGGTACCTTTATCAAGATAGACTGCAACAGTGGCAATCTTCAGGTACTATACCAGGCTAAAAAAAGTAAAAATTGCAATCAAAAAGAATTCCCCGCACAAGTCCATCAGCCTGCCTTTAAAAATAACCACCTGTGGTTTAAAGCTGTTACACTGAAAGGCAAATATTTGTCTTGAAGGCAACCTCTTCCAGGAGGTCTATCCAGGCTACCTGTCAGGATAGTAGATGGTCAGGACAAGCTTATGCCAGGTAGCCTGAAGCCAAGACTAGGGAAAGCCAGTTTTAACTGAAAAAACAGTTATCAAACAAGTACACTTACTAATTAGCGTGTTTTATCTCAATATTATTCTTGAAATAATTTTAAAACCAAAATAATAGTAGCATCATGTGCATATGCAAGTAGGCATGGGATAAATATAGTGACAGAGTGAGTACAACATATAGTCAGAAGATAGACTGGATTACCTGTTCTGAACTGGTGAGGCACAGCCAATAACAAAGTGTGGTATAACACAGAAAGCAACCTATGAGACTTCAGAAGGCTCAGGGTGGGCTCCATGTCTGTGTTAGTGTTAATTTTTCAGTGGCAGTAGCAGTCAGAGGAGATGCACAGCAGCAAGGCAACAAAGAGGAGAAAGAACTGACAAGGGAGGCTTCTTCACAAAGGCTGGGGAGCCCTGGGCTAAACAAAAGTCCTCTTGAAGTCCTCTTCAGCACTGTCTTTGATGACAGGTTTTGTATGCAGCTGTGATTTGAGATAGCTGGCTTAGATAGGCAAACCTATTCATGCCCTGTGAATAAAGCTCTATTTAATGTATGTTAATTTGGGATTAGAGCAATTTTTTGTCTATAATACATATGTAATAGACAGCTCCAATCTTTTCTACAGACACTAATCTGAGAGAGAAAAATTGCTTCTTTTTACTATGAGCCTCAAATTGTACTTGAGTGTGAAAGTACCTTAGATAATTTGGGTAGCAGAAGCAGTCTAGCTACACCAAACACAATCACAAGCTTGCCCTGGCTTTCTGTAGTTCATCTATGCGCATGATTTGCTTTCTTTTTTCCAGTCACAGCCTGTAGGATGTACTTCATATATTTCAGTTAAGAGGTAGAATGTTCACACAAAGCACATTTTTAAAACAATCACTGTGTTCTTCAGAGAAACAATATAATAAATGACAAAATATTCTTGACCCTCATCTCCAGCATGCTCATTTAAAGTACTTAACAGTAAACATAGTTCTAGGTGTTGACATGTTGATACAGTACAATATATTTAAAGAAATGGAAGAAGAAATGTTAACAACTGACATGTTTTATGCTCTCTAAACTAAGAGCTGTTCCACATAATTTGTTTTCTAAATTGTGTACTGTTTTATAGAAAGAAAACAGAACTCAATTGATTCCCTTAAGTGAGTAAACACAGCAAGGAAAAAAATCAATTATTAAGAAAATAATTATACTTGGTATTGTCAGGAGGAAAAAAATGCTGTAAAGGGAAATAAATGCAGGTGTACATACTCTGCCGACAGTGGTGGCTTCTACAGTTCTGATACCCACCCAAGGTTCCTTCCAAGCATGCCTTGGTAGAATTATGTACACAGCAAGTCTTGTTATAGAAGTTTTACCTATGTATTTGTCTCAAAAAGCACCATACCACAACAGATCAGTTTGAAGGTAGGTCTATCTTGGACCACTTGTCATTTTGATGAAAAGGACTTAAGACATTACTGTGGGGCTGAAGTGATACAGGTGAAAACTATCCCCCCACCCCTGAAATTCTGATGGCAGCCTGAAAAATAGAAAAGAGCCATATCCCGTGCTAACTGCAGCTTGCACAGTCTTGAGCTTCAGCTACTGTAAAAGAAATTGATGTGAACATATTTAGTTTACAAAAATCAAGCAGCTGCATGATTATAATTAAGATTTGAGGTCCCAGACAACAATTCAGCAATTAAAAGTCAGCATCTTACAGTTGTTTGCTAGTAGCTCTCCAAAAATGTTTCACATTTTTTTTCATACCAAAGCTATTCAGAGTTATAATTAGCATTAACTAACACCTTTTTTGACAGTCTCAGACAGCAAGCTAAGCAGTAAAAAGACAGCCCTCTAAAGACAACGTATATTAGCAGGACTATGAGAAGCTACTATTGGCTCTCCCTTAATGAAAAAGAAATATTGAAATTACAAATCTGGGGTTTTTTTCCATAACATGTTTCAATTTTGTCAGTTCAAATCTACTAAAGACCAGCATGGCAAAAATGGGTAAGTGGGCTTTAAAAGACTTATCAATACACTACAAGGTGTTTTATAGTTAATATCTAAATATTCCTAAAGTCTGGCAAAAGTTCAGCACAAGTGTCCATCTTTAATACTGAAGATATGCAAGTTAAACTTTTTTCTTCTAAAACAGATTTAGCTGATAGGGTAAGATTCCCTCATTCAATAAAGCATTCAGGGAAAGAAAGATTTTACTACACATATATACTTAATTTTACTTTACATCTTTCAGCAAGGGGAGTGAGTCAAGTAATGACTACCGTAAGAATATAAGAGAAGAAAAACTGGAATGTAGACTAACATAAACTGTTGAAAACTTCAGCGTAGAGAAGAAACATTTTTTTTATTTGTATGGTTAGTTTATATTTTACCTCAATTGTTAAAAAGTATTAATGATCATTTTACTTCATGAAAGTCTAGCAGTCAATACAAAGGATCATTCATTCCATGCATTCTCCTTCTAAAACACACACTTCAAATTTAAATTCATCAGATTTATGCAAGCATTTTTTCAGTTACCTGCAGAGTATCAAATATTATAAACATACCCAAGAAACCAAGAACACGTTGGGGATAAGACATATAGAAAATTTGGTTTATATGAGGTAATAACAGTACGCTTCTCCACAGTGAGTGATATTACTCAGATACGGCATAGTCATTTAGTGCTCAGAAAATAAATGAATGTGTTATTTTCAAATTTAGACCATCCTATTTTCACTGTCTAAGAAACAGCATAAAAGCAGGCTTTCCCGCTCCATTCTCAGTAGGCATAGAATAGGTGAAACAAGAAGGAAAGGAAAAAAATACAGGGGAAGAAAAGAAAAACGAAAATAAAAGAAAAAACCCAACAACGTACTAACTGGGAGGACACAATCTGCCAGTCACCAAACACAGCACGGCAACTTAGTTTTCTCTCTAAAGCTTCTACCCTCATCATCTCCTCTTATGGTCTGCCTCTTATTATTTTTACTCAGAAAATACTTCCAAAAGTGTATAATCTGTAAATGTTAAAACACAGGAAAGACATGGCTTCCTATGTATGACTATTCACAACATCTAGAGGCATCACTTTTATATATTATCATGGTTACTACTGATACTACTAGTATTAAGGTTCATCTGACTTCCAGTCAGAAAAACAGAAAAACAACTTAAAACACCAGAGTGACAAACTCCAAATAAGCATGCAACAGGTTAATTTTCCCCTTCTTTCATAGAAACCTCTGCTGTAATGTAGTAACAATATTATGGTATTAAAATTTAAAGAAAACAGTTTAAATCCAGAGTTTAAAGCTACAGTTAGTAGCTGCACACTATCACAGAGGTAGGCGAGTCCTATTAGCTTCCACTAATACATTGCTTCTCAAAAGCATACATCTTCCCTGAAAGTTACTAGTGATCACTAGAAACCATTTTCCTTTCGTAACATTACAAAGGAAGCTGCATTTTAATACACAGCATTCTCCCCGGCTGAAAGTTTTAAAGTAGCTCTGTTTTCCTTTTGAGACTGAACGATCAATGACTTTGTACATTATTCCTGAAGTTAATATTGTGTTAATCTGAAGTTAGTCATTAAGAAATGCCTCTCTAAGATAAGAGTGAAGCCACACATAAAATGAAATATATGAGCAAACAAATAATCAGTGCACAAGGATAGGTGCCTCAAGCCCTGGAAGCAAATCTAGCAGTGGTTAGACTGCTGCAGGGGAGAACAAAGTTGGTCCTCAAGGAATACAGCAAAAATACCTCAAGGCAAAAAGCAGAGACTGCCTTTACACTAGCAATCTACAGCTCCTCTGAGGAAGAAAAAGATGGATGACTGCTAGCATTATTATGCTCTTGTGTTTACTGAAATGCAGTACCTCTTTCAACTGACAATACTGAGCTGATGAGGTGGAACATAAGTCAAATCTTAAAAGAGTTCAATAAGTCTCCCCACTCCCCCCCCAAAAAGAAAGAGTTTATAACAGGTAGGAAGGGGTTGCAGAAGGTACTAGGAAACAGGGTATTACAGATGTGAACAGGCATGCCTTAATAGCTTCGCTAATTTTGCTGAGAACTCGACTACTGAATATTGTTTAGGGATGAAGGATTGGTTTGTTTTTAACTTGTCATTTTGTATCATGGCAACTGCAGTTTAGGAATTTGTCAAAATAAAGCTTATGCAAACACAAAACTGTTTGAACTCATTTTAATATTATAACTGATGATGATTGTTTTATACTAAAGCTATTTGGTTTTTTTTTTTAAAAAAAAACCCAAACCAAAATAGGCAATTAATTGCTTGCAGAAGGCCTTACCTCCTCTGTGGACTACGGTTCTGAGAGAACTCCGAATCACTGTCCTTCGACGTTGGAGAGCCCTTATAGGTGTAAAAAACATCCTCCGTTTCAGTAATGTAACTAATCTCATTTGTAAGGTTATCTACAGATGAGTGTCGGGGTTTACGAATTTCATGACGTAGTCTAGGACTCCGCCTTAAAAATAAGGAACACAAGCACAAGTTGGAAGATCAGAATAATTCACAAAACTTTATCAAAGTGAAATTTCTATCCTATTGCAATCTATGTCCTGAAATCTTCATGACAGGCCTATGGGTCTCACTTTAAATAATCAATTTTTAAGCATTTTATACGGTAGACTAGGCAATCAGTACACTGAACTGATTCATTTTTTCCCCCTCTTCTAATATGCTACCTGTATTGTTAAAGTTCTAATCATAGGATAATTCAGGTTGGAAGGGACCTATGGAGGTCACCTAGTCCAACCTTCTGCTCAAAGCAGGGTCAACTAAGGCTGCTTAAGCAGGCTGCTTAAGGCTTTATCCAGTCCAATCTCAAAAACTTGAAGGGTGGAGACCGCAGAACTTCTCTAAGCAACCACTGCTCAACTGTCCTTGTAGTGAAACATTCATTATGTCCAGACAGAGCCTCTCGTGTTTCAACATATACCTGTTGCCTCATCCTCCCACCATGCAACACTGAAGAACCTGGCCTCATCCTCTAGCTAGCCTCCTCCTAAGTGTTCCCAGGCTGTTATTAGGCATTTGGGAAATCCTTGCTTCTCCAGGCTGACCAAGTGCAGTTGTCTCGGCCTCTCCTCACAGGGTAAGTGCTCCAGCCTCCTGACTACCTTGGTGGCTGGTGGCCTTTGCTGAGCTTGCTCTAGTTTGTCTTTCTTGTATTAGTGGACACAAAACCGGCTGCAGCATTCTAATAATGTCTAATGAATGCTGAGCAAAAGGGCGATAGTCACTTCCCTTGATCTACCATCTATGCTTCTGTCAATACTGCCAGGTTGCTGTGGACTTCTTTGCTGCCAGGGCACAGCAGATAGCTCATGTACAGCTTGCTGCCTACGAAGATTACCAGGTTCTTTTCCAGACAGTTGCATAGCAGACAATACTGTTGCACTGGGTTCTTCTTTCCCAAGACTTTGCATTTGTCTTCACTGAATGTCATAGAGATCCTATTGGCCCATTTCTCCAGACTCTCACAGTCCCTTTGGATAGCAGCCCTGCCCCCAAGCTTATTGACTCATCCCCCCAGTTTGGTGTTGTCTGCAAACTTTATGAGCAAGCACTCCATTGCCTCCTCAAGGTCATAAAGACGTTAAGCAGGACAGGTCCCAAGATAGATCCCTGCAGTACTCCACTTGTTATTGGCCTCCAGGTAGAGTATGACCCATTAACAACTCCCTTCTGAGTCCAGTCATGCAACCATTATTTTTATTTTTTTTTTTTTAACCATCTTGTTGTCCACCCTTCCAGAATGTAATGTCTTAACTTGGGTATAATATTTTGGCAGACAGCATCAAAAGCCTTGCTAAAGTTGAGGTAAGTGACACCCACTCTTCTCCTGTTGTCATATATATTCTCAGAATAACAATGTTTAAATATATACGTACACACTACCTAATTATTCAGCTAGAGTACATACAATTAGAAAAGGTAGGAAGCTGGAAGGCATGGGAAAGCCTGAAACTGGATTTACCAATTAGGGGTAACAGGAGGTGATCGAGAAGGAAGGCTTTTGGTCTCTAGATGCTCAACAGATAAAGATCGTCTCATAGACGGGTTCCAAACCATTCCACCTATAACTTTTTTGCAGTACTGGCTGTTTACAGACCTGAAAAGAAATAGAAGACTGTATGTGAATTATTTTGGGTAGAAAATTTAAATGACATAAAATATGCTTATGAAAGTCAATTTTATAATTCATGTGTTTTAAAGAGTCACCTGTGCTCACCCTTCCTTACTTAAGCATTTGCATTCTCGCAGAGGCAGTTGCTGTCCTTCACTTGTAGCAATAAAACTGTTAATCCCTGCTACAATGCTAATCACAAGCCTCAGTAAAAATAACTTTTTCTGGGAGTTATTTTTAACCCAATTGTGTTTAAGAAGATGGAGGGGAAAACAGGAAATTCAGTGTGTCCTATGGGTACTGAACTAAGTGCCAGACAAAACATGGTTCAAATACAGGCAAAAGATTCTAGATGTTCCCTGTTAGAACTCAAAGAGGTAACAATTCACTAATGGCTTCACTGAGCACAGGACTACTTTAACCATCTCCCTGCTGCCTCAGAAAATAAGAGCTACACCAGACCACTCTATTTCCAGAAGGAAGCCACGTGGAGTGATGTGTTCCTTGTAGAAATAAACCATTAGAGAAAGATCTGACATGAAAGCAAGATCTCCAAGTCTGGACTGCTTCTTGTGACAAGAATCTGACAAGATAAGGGTTGCATCAGAACCAGAACCTTAGCTAGAAAAGCAATAAAAATATCTTGCTAATGGAATTATACAGCATAAAGAATTTTTTTTAAGTAGATCAAAATCGAGATAAACTAACTTTTATGTACCTTTTTACACAGCATTCCACAAGACAAGCAGAGAGATAAGCTGCTCATCCTCAAGTTTACAAGCCTAGGATTTCTCATGGAAAAGCAGCAATTTATGAGTTATAGAGAAATCACCTTTGGCTCACTACGTCCTGAGCTGTACCTAATGGGCAGCTGGGATAGCAGAGCATGTAAGGACTTTACTATAGAGCTGAAATGTCTCAATTTTACATAGCATAAAAACAAAAACAAACAAAAAAGTTGTTTATCCTGTGGATATTACTCATGCTAATATCAAACCGTACGTATGCTTTGCATTGTACTCCTTTTTGTTTATAAAAGAAAAAAAAGCAACCCAAACCTTTTTTTATATTCTGAAGTATTTTACATATCTTGTCCATGATTTTAAAGCAAATTAATTCCTTCACCTTCTAAATGTGTACTTTTAAAGATTCTCCCAGTTTAAAAAACAAAGAAGGAAAACTTAACATGAAGCGACTACATATCAAAATCAGCTACCCATGTATGTTTTTAAGCTTACTAAACACACAGACCATGAACTCAGGAAAAGCTTTTGCCTGTACTATCCATTTTATTTCTGTAAGTCTTCTGAATACCAATGACAAGGCACCGACAACTCTGGCCTTCTACAAAAACAAAGAGTTCTTTCTAAGAAGCCTTACATGGATGGAGCGGAGAGGGAGAGTAGAAAAAGAGGATGTATTATAAAAAAGGTGTCTTGAAGAATTCCACATATTTTGCCTTCACCAGCTTTCCTTTTTTACAATTACCTGTTCATGCATTTTCCAATGCAGGTGACTTTTGAGGTGCAACGTAACTCATGTGATGGAAGCCAAAGCCCTGGCCCTGACCCCAGAATCACTTTAACAATATATTCTCTAGATATTTCAGTTAAGTTACATAACAAACTCCTGAACTCCAAGTAGCTGCTCTTTATATGTCAAATACAAGGATATTTCTCAGCTGCCAATGCTTTTCTGGAATGGGCTGTAATATCTTGAAGTAACAGTTCCTTGCTCCCATGTATTACCAAAGTTATTCTTTGTGAAAAAATAGGTACATTTTTAGCTTTCCAGAAAGGAATGAGAATGTGCATAGGAGAGGTTACTCAGCATTCAGCCCAGAAACACTGAATGAACTTACCTCTCAATGTGAGATGTGATTCTGCCTTTCCTTAGATTAAGGTTTACAGGTGATTTATACAACTCAGCAGCCTAATTTAAATGGAATTCCACTAGTACCTTAAGCTAAGAGAATCTAGAAGGGCACAGAGATGTGCAAATAAGAAATTGTATTAACAGTTTGCAAGAGTTTAACTATTTGAACTGATGCAGTAAATGCTAGGATATCTGCCTCACATGAGTTAAAAGAACGTAGTACAAGCAAGCCACCAATTCAAGAGGAAAACTTGTGATACTTAAGGTAGTAAAACCTGAATGTAACTTCCCTCAAAGCTGACAGAAGTTGGCTGACAAGAACTACTGAAGACAAGTCAGTCTTAAAACCTCCAGGGTTACATGGTATGGTCAGTGAGGTTTTTGTGCACGTATCTTTGGTTTTGTGGTTTTCTTGGTTTGGTTGGTTGGTTTTGGTTTTATTGTTTGTTCTACTCAATGCAAAATTTTGTTTCCTTTCATAAGGGAGAATGCAGAATCCCTTTTTTTGTTTCGTAGCTTCCACATGAGCTCAGAGCCATCCTTGAAAAGGAATGTGGAAACTCTTGTTGTCTCTTACAACATTCCACAATCACAAATAAGTAGGAAAGTAAAAGTTTTCAATATATGACTGATAACCTTGGAAGTGGCTTGTTCACACCTTTTCTTAAATTGTTGGAGAAAGTAATTTGCTGAGTGACAGTGACCAAGTTGATAGGAACTACTGAAAGTCTCCCAAAATTCCTGTTGCTTCTTAGGTACTTTAGCAGTCTCTGATGGTAAAGGTTGCTGAGTCATTTCTGCCTCATGTAGATCCTAAATTTCATGCTTGTTGCTGGCGTAAATAAGGCCAAAGAATGCATTAGTACAGAGGATATAATTAAGCTGATGGAAGGTACTACAATGAACAGTTCTCCCTAGAGATTCCTTAAGAGCTTAAATAAGCATTTCACCAGTGATAACGCCTCAGAACATGAAACCACTGGAAAAGAACTCTTTCTTAGTAACTTAGTTTAACAATGAGAGCTATCCTACATGCTACAAGCTATTAAGAAGTTGTAACAGTAAATTTGTCAGTAATCAAATTTTTGGTAAAAATTGGCCATAATAAACAGGTACCCTTTGGAACTCATACCATTTTCTTTCTTAACATTACAAGGGCTGTTCAATGCCTGTGTGTGCATGCGTATATACAAGCATCAGGATTTTGAATCTCTTTGCAAATTTGAGAGAAAAAGGACTCCAGGACGTGACAATCCTACAAGCTTTGAGGAGGTCACCTCCTCAAAGCTGTCACTATAGGAAGAACAAGTTCATATCACTCCATAGAGGATCTAATTCTCAAAATATAGATCTGTAAAACATTAGAAAATTAAATTACTGTTTGTACAACTACTCGTTTTCACTTGCTTCAGCTATCCTCTAGTACTAGGTGAAAAATATGGAATTCCACTCCAGCAGAAAACATAACAGTTTATCAGTCTTCTTACTGTTGGACAGCCCTCATGGGTGAACTGCTTCATTTACAAGCAATACTAGTCCACTTGGTATGAATTTCTGCAGTATCTAGAAAGACATGACTGTATGAAAAGCCAAACAGCCACCAAAGTCTGGGAAGCTATTTGAAGTGTGATGACATCATTCAAAAGTTGAAGCTTATCCAAATAGGAAAAAGAGAATGAAGTCTGACAAATTAAATGTAAATTTAAACTGTTAAGGGAACACACTGCAAAAACCCCACAAACAAAAAGAAAACAATAAGATACTTTTCCAAAAATCATTAGAACAAGTAGGTTTCTACAGAGACTACAGATGATCAAAAGACAAAAGAACCCTCCAAAATCTCACACTCAGAGAAGATAATGACGTAAGACTTTTTTTCATTCACTATTAATATGAAAGATTTTTGGTATGTTTCATGACAGAATTTTTCTTGGGGGTGGGGATGACAGGACACAGATGAGACCATCATGACACAGAACATGGCATTTGTAGCTGAATTGCTGATAAATGAAACAGAACAAATCAACATAATGAAAGAAATCACTGGGACTGATACTTATCAAAAAAAATCTAAAAGCCTCTAAGATGAAACAGCAGAACTACTGGAGTATAACCTCTCACTTTAAACTAGTCATTTAATGTACTCAAGATCTCAAAAAGACATTTGACAAGGTTCCTTAAACCCATAAAGAAACTAAGGAGCTAGGGAATAGGGTCCTCACTTGGATAAATTGCCTGTTCACTTGTGACATAAAAAAGAGAATAGGAAAAAATGTTTTAGATTTATCATGGAAAAAGATCAGTAGTGAAGTCTTAGACCAGTATCTGTTGGGGGCTCTTCTGTTCAACATATGTGATCTAGAGAAAAGAGTGAACAAAGTTTGCTGAAGATATTAATCACACAGGATAGCAAAAATAAAGGTCGATTGTGAAGAAGTGCAGAAGGACATTACAACATCAAGTGACTAGACGATAAACTGGCAGATGAAGTTTAATGAAGTTAGGGCCCAGTTGGTGCACATGGGAAGGAACAATCCCAGCTTCATACCACCATGAAACAACCAGCTCCATGACCAGCAGAACCCGACGAGGCAAATACAAGATTAGAAATGTCACAAAAGTGGTGACTTGAATACTTGGATGGGACAAAATTTTTCATCTCCATGTCAGTAATAAGTGGTTGGTATGACGCACTCCAGAAATTGCCCTAAAATATTAAACAGAGTGTGTATATGACACTAACGGGTAAACAGTTCAGAGCAAATCTGTTCTGCAAATTCTCTTATTGGATCATTACCTACATGGCATTTTTACTTTCTAGTGTTTTTGAACTGAAAGAGCAAGTTGAAACAATACCAGTAAAACATGCTTATATTCAAATACCTTTTTAGGAAATTATAAGAAAAGTTCTATTGTCACAATACCACGTTGCAGAAACTGAAACCATAGCTATATAACTTCTCAAATGGTTCACATACAAACTGGGAGACAGCTGTGGGCAGAACTGAACTCTGCCACTCTAAGTTGAGCTATCACTGACACAGATCCTCCCATTTAATTACAAAGCAAAACATGCTTCCACACAATACTTACTTTGCTGGATTTCTAGAACCCAGGGTCCAATAATGTGACAATATCTTTTTTTCATGAGGTAGTGACTTCTTTGCCTGAAAAAATGTGTGATGCTCTACACAAGATTTCCATAGATTTTTGCATGCTCTGTAATTCAACATGTTGAAGGCAACAATATGCTCTCTGGATTCATTCTGTAACAGTAGGAAATACCATGTTTCAATATATACAAGCAGATCAAACTCAGTAAACAAGCTCATAAAACAACAATAAAATTACTTTTAGCTTAAATAGGAAAAATGCATTTAGGAAAACAAAAAATCAGTGTATAGGAGATTTTGAGCTGGAGATGGCCAAAATATGACTATATGTGACTATATGAAATTCTAAACTGCAAAATGGACACTTTAAAAGTTCAAACTATTAAGTTTTTCAGTTTCTAATCCTTAAAGTGTTAATGAAATATTTAAGCCTAGAGTGCCAAAGATTTTGTATATATGGGTGTAATATTAAACAGCTAAATATAGTTTCAGGTTTCCAGTCAGATCTTGACCTCCTATGACAAACAAAACTCTTAAATATTCCATTAAGGGTGCAACATAGAAAGGAAAAAACCCTCAATCTTTGAATTCAAACTCTTCACATAAGGCTTCAATTCAATAATGTTCTTTCAAGAGTCACAGTATGCAAAACCCATCTGCCTGAGAGTGTTTTAGAAGATACTAAAGATGTTAACAGTGATCCGTCTTGGGGGAAAGAAAGTAGCTGTGATGGAACTGGAGTTGCTGCTACCACTGTTCAAATCCAGTCCTGCTTTCTGGATGATAATCATGAGGCCACAATGAGGAGATCAAAAGGAAGCAGAATACAAAGCTTGTGTGTCTTGGTGCAAACTCTTACTTGTAACTACAGTGCCAAAGTGCCAGTGAAACACAGGTGTAACAATTGTGCCACCCAGGTTTATGCCCTTGTCAACTGTAGATCTTGTTGAGCTATTTCAGATCCTGAGAGAGTTTTGCATAAGATAGGTGGATTGCAAAACCTTTTTATTAAAGGACTCAGAAAGATCTAATAAAGCTTTCTCATACAGTCCAGCAAGAAATAGAGGTCGCACCTGGATAACACCTTGATTTGTCGTTGCCATTGTCCTTTTATTTGTTCACAGCAACGGTCCCGCTGGGAAGTACCTACAGACCATTTTGGCTGGAATACTCAATCTGTTTTTCTTTTATTCTTTTTGTTTCTAGGCAACATTTTACAAATGCCATGTATCAGAGATTAATGCCACATACTGCAAATCACTTTGACTAGTTCAGAGAATCTATGACTGAAGTCACTATTTTAGAAAACCAATGAGAATCTCAAGAGAAAGATAAAAAGGATTTGCCTCTTGATTTTACATAGGCACTGCAAAATATTTAACTGATTGCAGTCTTTCAGGCATGTTTTCCCTATAGCTATTAAAACATTTTAAAAATGTTTTTGCTTTTTTTAAGAAGTAGGGTTTGTTATTTGAGCCTCATGCATATTAGAACCAACTAATTTTTGTCAGTTTGCCACAGTTGCTTCTAATTAGCTTATGTAAAATAAAATATGCAAGTATAGTGAAATTTCAACTCAGAATTTCTTGCATTATAAAAAGCATACATTGCTTAAAGATTTAATGATAAATGGCATTTCTGACATACTGTCTGTTGGTTGAATACCACTTGAAGTGTTTTACTACTCCAGAAGACAAATAAAAGGAAGTGTATAGATATTTTTGTTGGCCTGGAGCACTGGCCTTTCAATTGCCACAAAAATCAGTTTATCCAAATGTCTCAATCATACTGAAAAGTCATAGAGTAAAGATAAAGAATTAAGTACACCTAATATTCTGGTTTTAAATTTAAGTTTGAAATTAATAACAAATTTTGCTCTCTACATCACAAGTATGTTCTTCCCAACTGTTGTAACAGAACCTTCTTAGCATCTTCTAAGTGGGCTAAAAGTTTAAATATGGACTTAAACTAGGATAAAGACTTTCAGAAGTTTCAGAAAAACTTAGTCAATTTTTAAATTAACAAAATCTTTTGTGAACATAACCATCTGGCTCACTAACAGGCCATGTTGCAAGTCGTGCTATTAAATCTATGCACCATTTTAAAGGTGAAGAGAGTTCTAGTGGGATCCAAAGAGCTAATGCCCATCATATTTCTCAACTCAAGTTCCAAAAGAACAGTATTTTAATAGTTATCAAGAAACAAGGATTAGAGAAATCTGTGGCCATTAAGGTAAAGGGAACAATTCTCAATATCTAAAGTGAGTGTCTTGCTATTTCAACATCAGCGAAAAACTTTGCATCAGATGCATGCCTATTCCATTCACAGAGAATTTGAAAATAGCTACAGCATAGCAAGTACAAATCTATTTTAATATGCAGAAAATGAAGGTGTTTTTAAGTATTAGATAAGCACATTGGAAATAAAGTTTCATTTCTGGAAGCTTTAAAATGTTGCCTGTAAACCAGCATAGTTCCTATTCCTACCTTAAATCTTGCACCCTTCATTAAGTCTACATATCATGAGCTTTTATAGCACCAGACACTCACTGATTCATCAGTCTTGCTCCCCAGTCCTTATGTAGCTCTTCAGTAGAAACAGAAATATTGCATACTTCTATCAAGTAGCTGATCAACAGACTGAAGCAGTGGGAGGGTAAAAGAAGAGATGAGTAGCAGGGAGAGAGTGAGATAAGGTAAGTTGAGTCTTCAGAACAGGGGCATAAGGAAAGAAAAAAGGAGTAAGAGAAATAAGAAGAATAAATCAATGAAACATGGCACATCTCAGATGACTACAAATTCATAGCCTTTGAGAACTTTTTGTAGATTTTGTAATGAAACCTACACGTGACATACAAAACTGAAATGTTACAGCATTGTCACCATTTTTAATGAAATCTTGCCTATGAATACGTAGTATTAGCTCTGCTTTCCCCACAGTTGTCCATCTTCCTGACTTTCAGCCTCATTTACCTATTTCCTCCTGTACCTTCAAGCAAAAGTCTCATCATTCCAAAGACCAAGACCACTTCAGTCACCTGCCCTCACAAACCCCTCAAGCAACCCACCGTTCTGGAGAAAACCCCTAGTAGTCCAGCTGCCCCCTCACTCCCACTGCACTGCGACAACAAGTTTTTTCCAAGCAATACCACTGAAGTACTGCAGGCTTGCTGCTCTAAATTTCAACAAAAGGGGCTAACTGACAAGGATGGATGTACCTAGAGATTTAATAGCACACCTGGTCTGCTTTTCCATATCTACTGAGAAAGAGTAAAAAGGTCATGCGGCTGGCCTTATTTTCCCTACAATTCTGTAGCTCTTTAAGCATGATATAGTGTGCATTACTGTAATCTCAGTGGGTTATGAAATAAAGAACTATGATCACGTAAGAGGAGATTAGTTAAAAGAATCAAGGGCCTTGATCTCTCGTCATTTATCAAGCGCTTAATGGAACAAACTTTAAGAATGCTGCACTCTTCAAAGGTGACACAGGTCTCCAGAAAGAAAAATTTAATTTTTCACAGCAGTCAAGTCTTTATACAGTGAGCACACATATTTTATATGATCTTTACGTCCAGAGATTATTATATATTGACAATTCTTCCATATTCCAAAACACCTGTAGGGACACTCATTTTACTAACCACTGTTACTCATCACTCAGAGAATTGTGTTCCTATGTTTATTCTCACAGACACATTTGGAAGTTGCTGTCCATAAGCTTGCCCATATTTGTATACTTGAAGATACTTAGAATTTAAATGACTACTTATCAGTGAATTTTTAATCCTCAAATATAGAAGGTGGTAATACTCGCAAGTGTGATACAGTTACACTGAGTGTAATACAATTACACTCACAAGCTAGTAAAATGGTTTGCCAACCCCTCGTTTCTTCATACAGTGAAATATACATGAACAAAAGAAGTTTGCATATAAACAATACATTTAGAAACGTAAAGGTTGCAAAAAAAAAACAACTTAAGACCCCTCTACAGTGGCTTAGGACACATTCTCTCAAAAAAGAAAACAGTGTCATTTGTGCATGCTATGTGTGTAAGCATTAGTGCAGTAATACTATCTCTAGATACTTTGTTTACACGAGCCCTGAAAATGAAGAATGTGTACATACATGCACACTCCTCAAATTTGGAAGATACCCATCAAACTTGGGGGGGGGAGGCAGGGGTGCCAGGGACAGAAAAAAGAAAAAAAGAAAAAAAAGATTAAAACATTCTCCTTTTGGGTAAAAAAAGCCTCCCTAACAATCCGTGTTCAGCAGACCCTCTAATCAATGTGAGTCAAAGGGTATTCTTGTAACACAGCTCCTATCAGTTCAAGATATCATTTACTACTCAAAAGAGCCTTCATAAAAGTTTACATACCAGTTAACACTTACTTTTTACTATCTATTCGAGTTCTGTCCTCAAGTGAATTAAATTATTTATGTATCTACTGGTCACTAATTTCTGTATTTTTTCTGTCATATTAAATATTTGTTTCTCTTGTAAAAAGATATCTTAATTTATCTGATCATGTTGTGGCAGCACAATACTGTAATCAAGTTTTTTTTCCCTATTAAAAAGACTAATATTACAACTGTTCTGCAAAAAGCACACAGCATTATGAAGACAACTCTTAACAGCAGAAAAATTTTACATCAGTGTTATCAACTACCTTCACCTATTTTGCCAACTTCTAAAGCTCTCTATGTTACAGGCAGCAGGAGGTGCACTACTCCCCTTTCCAACCTCATGTCTTTCAGCTGCAGAGCTCTCCTTTTCTCCAGGAACCTTCCTTTCTCCCAGAACTCTGAGCCCCATAAGCAGAAGGGACCTCACAAAGTCCTCCTAAATTGGATAAGCAGCCTTTTAGTAGATTCACTGCATTGAGGAACTCTACAGGGCAGGGATAGCATCAAAGAAAAAAGCAGCAGATGCTGGCAAAAACATGGAAATACGCTAGGTTACTAAATACTGGAGAAAGGACAAAGATCTGCAATTCTCCCAAGTCTCCAAGGGAGAAGAAACCTGCATGGGAAAGATACAGTCCAACAGACTGAATATGGAAGAATTCAATGTTGGAAAGGAAACAAAAACGGGAAACAGAGCAAGGATAAGAGGACCAGAATAGCAAGGACAAGTTAACAAAACAGAATTTCAAAGGCAAGTTACCACAACAGAGCCTTTTGATCATCGTTTTGTTGTCTTAACATTTAAGGCAAAAAAAATTGAACACGACCATTTGAGCAAAATAAAATTAAATGAATACTTACATGTTTTTGCCGTTGTTGTATAAAAAACTTTTTCCTTTTAAAGGAAATTTTTAATATGTTCACCCTAAAAGAAAGAAACAGACCATGAAATAGTAAACAATGTTTAGAGGGATAAAACAATGAAAAATTATACTGCGTAGATAGACCCTAAAAGATTACAGCTGTTAAATATTCAACGAATAGTATGCAGCCATCTCCTGTGTTGAGTGGCAAATAGGTATCAAGAAACTCAAATGAAAAATTTTAGCAAAGAAAGGCCTTTTAAAAATTGAGTTTCTTCCTCATTTACTCTTTAAATAGTTCACATAGCAATTCTCTCCCACCAAAGCTATTCTTGCAGCAAAAACTTGATGACATCCTCTACTAAGCTGCACAAGTGTTAAATGTGTCATGTTTGTATAACTTCAGAATCATATGACAACTGTGACTAAAGGAACAAAATTTAAGACCCTAATGACATGACAAGGTTGGTCATACATCATCTGAAATTTTCCAGAGACTTTACAGAATTGGCTTCATAATGTGAAAATTATCATGTACTTGCATTAATAACTAAACAAACATTTAGTTAAAAACAAAACTGTAAAAGGACAAAAACTAAGAAAACTGTTAATATATTTTTCACTTCAACTATTAGCATTGCTACATAATTTATATGGTAATTTTGTACAGAACCACACATCTCTTTTCTACATATACATAGTATGAATAAAGATTTATTTATTCATAAGTAAGGATTATAATTGGAATTGGAGCTCCAGCAATTTTCATTTTAATTATCAGTTTTGCTAAATTAAACAAACTTCTAGATACCCATGCACCTTCCTACAGCAAAACAAGATTTGTCCAAAATACCTAAGTTTCCTCTGCAATACTTCTACTTCAATAACTGAAAACCTACACATTTTCAAAAAAGAAACCTGTGACCTGTGATAAGCTGGAATCACAAGGATGCATGAGGGAAGCTATTTAAGGTCTCATCAAGTCATATCTGCCTGAAAAACCACCATGAAAGGGGTTTGGAAGGTTGCTGCTAAAAGTCTCAGAATATTCTTGTCAACTGATAATGTTTCACAGCACCTTAGATGTCATCAAGTATGAACTATATTGACTGTCATCTCAGTTCTTACCACAGTTTTTGCATCACTCTCAGCAAGTGGGACAATGGCATATCATTAATTCCCCACTACCCATGAGAGATACATGCTTCAGTTATAGAGCAATGTCCTTCATTGATACAGGAAAGTATATTTGCCAGTTACAAACAAGAAAGGTAATGGAACGAACAATCCCCTCCCGCACAAAAGAGGTGGAAAACTGAACGTGAGCCCATTTCTGAAAATGTTTTTCTCCATCAATTACAGAACCACAAAGAAACAGGAATTTCATTAACATTGTTCCTTAACTACCAGGCAAATTGTTGTGTAAGTTAATGGAAAGTTGAAATCATATCCACCTCTCCTGTCAGGCCAGCTCTTGAAATACTTGCACCATTTGACTTGCTACCTCAAAGAGTAATGATCTGTATTGCTCATCTAAAACTTCTGGATTCTGAACTTCCCGATAAGTCACATAAACTTTCAGTTGTATTTACTGAGATGCAACTCATTTATATATAAAACCTTTCTTAATCCTAGTGCTACTCCACCTGAACTAGTACAACTCAAGTTTTGTGCTTCTGGTTCTTTCTTACCACATTTCTTGACTCAGATTAAACTTCAACAAGTAAGTTTTTGTAGTCGTTCTCAGCTTACACAGTTGCTGTCACAGTCTGTTCTTACCCTAACACAGAGCCAGCAGAAATGCAGGACACAGAAAACTAACCTTGCAGACTAGGCAAAAAACCTTCCACCCAAGAACAAAAAGGTAGCCAACATACCAAAATACCAAAACTCTCTCAATCCTTCTCCTCTCCCCCACCCTTTTTTTTAAAAAACATGATTCACTGCATGACCACATAATCACTTCAAGCCAAATCAGGGCTTTAAGTCTCTTTATTTTGACTCTTCTCTAAGTAGAGCATCTCTCTCAATTCCATTCATTCTTTTTAAAGTACAACTAAACCTATTTAATTCAGTGACAAAGAACACTTGCTAATCTGACAGTTTTATTTAACATTAACTAAAAATCATTTGCAATGTTACGCCTACAAGCTGAATGAACGATGCATATAGCAGAATCCACAAAAAAATCCAGGAGATTAAGGTATCAAAGGATTTAGATTTAACAAATGCTTGAAGATGCCACTTCCAAAACATGATCTGAATAGAATGCAGTTACTCTTATTCTAACTGGTGGCTCAGCTGCCCTTATCACTCACCAATAACCTGTCCAGTGACTATGCAACATTCACAAATCATTAAATTTCACAGTTTACTTGTAAAACACTCAATACTTGTAGCATATTAATACTGATACATCTTTTGGGTCCCACCTTGCTATCATTTACAAGGGCTGAAATAGATTTGTCACTTAGTGGGCAACAATTACTCATTTCTGATCAAATTGGCAGTTCTGTCATAGCAGATAGTACTAACAGCGGGTATTTTTGACTTGAAGAAAAAAAACGTTTCTTTAGCTGTAAGTCTTACACTTTGCCATTGGAAGATTCAGCAGGAAAGGTTCCATAAAATTTGCTATGTAAGACTGTCGAGTTGTTTTTTAAGTTGTAACTAGCAATGTAGAATGTATTCCTCTAGCAGTTTCCCTGAAGTTTTCAAAGCAAAGAAACTGCATATACTGAACAGCATTTAATACAAAACCTTAACTGCTGCTGATATAGAGAGGGCTTGTATGTTTTTGCCATTAAGATAATATTTTACTTGCAAAATGAATTTTGAAATTATCACAAAACAGTTGAGCACCCCCAAAAATAACTTTCTAGAGCATAAAAAATACTGTGTTAAATCCCAAGTTATTTTTTAAACCTGTCTTGACTTGCATTGCCTCTGACTGATCAGTCAGCTCCTTACGTAGGTTGCTTTGATTGAAAGTCCTCCTTTTGCCAAGACAGTATTCTCTCACTGCCTCTGTTCCTGAAAACTTTTGGTCCCCTTTGACTACTACCATATGGCAGAATTGTATTGTTGTCATCCACTAATGCTGCAGAGTATTTTACTTAAAAGTTTTGGAATGAGTGCTTTGATGGTGTTTGCTGCCACCTTGAGTTCTACCACGTTTATGGTGAAGATTGCTGAGCCCATATGAAAAACTACTTACTACGAATGATGTTACATAAAAAGCCTAAATACCATTTCAATTAACTGATTTTTTTTTTTTTTTTTTTTTTCCATTCTCAGGCATATACTGTTCTGTAAGGAATCTCCTAACCTGCACACTTTCAGCCCATCTAAGATACATTAAAACTCCAGGCATTACAGAAATATATCCTGCTCTGAGGTCTAAAAAGAAATTAAGATTGTATACTACAAATACAGCACAAGCTAGTCTGCTCTGGTGACTTTCCTTGTTTGCTCGTTTGAGGGGTGGGGGGAGAGGGTTGGAGGAAACGGCCATGATTTTTGCTTGAAGAATTATGACTAACTCATTCCAGAAGCCAGAAATAAAATATGAAAAAGTTATCCCCTATGTAGTGATTTTTTTGCTCCTTTCAAGTTGTGAAGATATTTTAGAGAGAGAGTAGGAAATCTTGGGAAAATTGCATTAGCTGAGAGCTGAAAATATTGCTGCCTAAACCTCGTATTTTAGAGTGAAAATTATTTGAACTGAAAAATCTGTGGGGTTTTTTTCCCTCAATTTCTTTTTGTAAATGAGAATAGGTTTTTGGGAATGACGTTTTAGCATCTGTGTTTTATTCCTTTGTGCTCTCCAGGAGTAAAAGTAGCACATGAAGATGTGGATTCTTCCTGTCTTTTGTGCTATAAAGCTCTCTTTCCCTTCCCTAAAAAAAAAAAAATCATATAGTCCGGGATTTTAAAATGCCATCACCATGGTTTTCAGGAATAACTATTATCCATTCATACCTTAGGTCACTAAGTTGGCAGAACAAGACTTGCAGAAGACAGAAAACATGCCTTCAGCTGGCATATTTTAAAACTGCAGCTGTTTAAAGAAGCTGAGAGATCAACATATGAAAGGGCAGAGCTCAGGGCACAAGGATGAAAGATAAAAGTCTATTATGCTTTAGTGTGCATTAGAAATGGAAAAATACAAAATGTCATTGTGCTGTATGAAAGCATTATTGACATACATTTAGGATGGTTACAGTACATCCAAGTGAGTTGAAACACCACTCACTGCAAAGAAAAAAAAGAAAAATCCAAAGACTGTGCAGCACATTTTCCACTAAAACTTAAATTGAAACCAATTTTATTGCTTTCCCATAGGAAATACCTGTTAGGATAGGTTCATAATGAAAGAATGGAATGACTTGAGTATTTAAGGAATATTGCTAAGAAGTATCTTTTTATGTAATTAAGGGGCAAAAAACAAGTAGAGCCCATTAGAATGCACTTTTCTCTCATGATTAAGAACACTATACCATTTACTGAAAATGTTCTCCAGAAAAAACTGTTACAATTTATATGAGGAAATTATGCATAACATGTTTTGTATACTTGATAAAGTATAGCTTTATCAAGTTCATACTTACTTTAAAAAAGAAAGACTGGGAAAAATTCTTTCTGATCCAATCCAAAAACCTTAATGAAATGCCCAGCCTCCATATAATTTCTAATTTATTTTATAATTTTTAGTATGGTATAGCTAATAAAGCCCATAAGTACTATAAATAATTATAGCTTAACTAATTTCTAATGTCATTCACGTTAGACTTCTTGTGCACATTGCTTCTTCATAGAGGTTATGTTCTACAGCACTATCATTCATTTTAATGTTTTCAGTATCATAGAATAATGCAAAGGTCTCTCCCTTGGAGACTCGAAAACTTGTTAACATTATATAGCCTTGTTTGATGACATTTAAAAATTTGACTAAATTATATTATCACGGTTCCAGTAAATCTGAAAGTCCAAATAACTCATTTTACATTTCTTTTCCAAGGAACAAATATCTTCTTGCTGAATGACAGGATAAAATGATCAGACCAGCAGCTGTTGAACTTTACTAGTAATACTGTTGGGTTTTTGTTTTGTTTTTTAAAAGACGTATTATTGGATATAACAGCAGCAAATCTCTAAGACCACAGGGTCCTCCTAATCATGTACTCACAGCTGTATGTGAATTAACTTGATCAAGACTTCACACAGTTGAACAAATTCAAAAGTCTTAGAAAATTAAAAGGCTAGGCAACAGTTTTCATTTTTATCTCAACACAAGGAAATACCATGATACCCCATAGAGAAGAAAATTTATGTATTGTAGGCTTCTTTGGAGTAAATGTTAAAGCAAATGGAAATAAGATTGAGAAGACCAGACATATTTCTTTACTAGTAAAGGAATTTACCAGGGATAGAAGCTTGTGCAAATGAGTTTTCTATATACAGCAATTCCACCAGATGCAATCCCAATCATGAGATCTAGATTATGGAGATCCTGAAAATGAAAAACACTGTAAGAACACAGATGAAGTTTGTGTCATTCCCATTTATCTACTTATAAATTCATTTTCAAGTTTTCTATACTTATATCGCTACTCCTCAGGCAAAAATTCAATCACATATTTTGATTTTTTTCTCTCATGCATCTTGTTCCTTTGATGTTATCTACTAGGTATTATAAACTTTCACTCATCAAAACAAGTTGTAACATCCATCTTGCTACACTAGATATTCCTTAGGTCAGTATCAGACTACATTTTCAAGCCCAGCCTTATTAATTTAACCATGGGAAAGAAGTTGAAGTACTTCCCAGGATCAGTCAGGTAAATGTCACAGAGTTTTGGGAACTGAACACAAATGTCCTGATTCTAAGCTGTTTAAAACAACAAAGGAAATAATTCCTTACTTTTTCCAAAAAGGTCTTACCAACAAAGACTGGGCAGGAGGTGACCACGATTCTGCATATGAGAGTATGCTACAGGAATATACATGTGTACATGAATATTTGATATACTAAACTGAATCCATTGTTAACTAAACCAAAACCTGTGCATTAGCTTAACAGATTCAACTGGAAGAATGAATCCATAGATTCACAGTCCTTTATAGGTATTGAGATACTGTCATGGTTTAACCCCAGCCAGCAACTAAGCACCACGCAGCCGCTCACTCCCCCCGCCCCAGTGGGATAGGGTAGAGAATTGGGAAAAGAAGTAAAACTCATGGGTTGAGATAAGAACAGTTTAATAGAACAGAAAAGAAGAAACTAATAATGATGATGATAACACTACTAAAACAACAATAGTAATAATAAAAGTATTGGAATATACAAGTGATGCACAATGCAATTGCTCACCATCTGCTGACCAATGCCCAGTTAGTCCCGGAGCAGCAGCGATCCCCCCACCCCTACTGTGTTATCAACATTCTTCTCATACTGAACTCAAAACATAGCCCTATACCAGCTACTAGGAAGACAATTAACTCTATCCCAGCTGAAAACAGGACAGATACTCAAGAGGACACACATGCTTCCATATAACCAAACCCTTGAGTTAAAAGAAAAGAGAGAGGGAAAAAAAGAAAAAAGAAAAAAAGGGCTGGGGGAAGGACACTGAATGGTCAGTTTGAGTCTAAACCCAAACTAATGTTACAAAAGTTACAAATCTTGGCTTCCCATTTCTCCATGAACAACATGTACTAATACGTTACACAAATTCCTAAACAGAGCTGAACACATGCATAAATCTACATATAAGTGTAGAACCCCAAAACATCAGGTTTGACTCAAAAGTAGTTTCAGACTATTTGATAAAGGATGATGGCCAAAGGTAATGGATTCTCTTAAAGCCTTCAGTAGCTTAGCTGCTCCTCTAGATGGTACTCTGTGCTCAGTTAATACAGTTTTCTTGTATGTCCAATCCCAATTTCTTTATATTAGTAAGGTACAGAAGAAAAGAACAGGTAGCATGTGCTCTAACAATACTGTGGAAAGCCTACAATAAATCCTTTAAAAATAGTTGAATAGAAGCATGATACAGGCATATGAATGAATGAAGCTGAACCTAATTTGCAGCATGATTTACAAACCTCCAGTGAAATACCACAGCAGTTCATAGAGAATGAGGATAACCTATTTAATACATAGTGCATTAACACTGAATACTGACAAGATGATAGGAATACCAGTCCTATCTCTGAGAGTATAATAAAAGAAAATCATTAGGTAGGTAGCAGTCCAAATACACTCAAGGTACCCCAGTATCAGCTGAAATTACTGATAACTGTCAGCAACCTGCTGCCCCACTTTGCCAAGAACTGCTGCTAGAGGAGCTGGTTATATCTCCATTGGAAGAAGCTCCTGAACTGCCAGTTTATGCCAGCTTAATGCAGGAATCCAGAGCTGACACTCCTTAATTTTAATACTTGGGGAGAAAACTGAAGTATTTCAGGAGATTAATTGCATGTAATTTAGCTGCCCTTGCCATGATACGGCCAACCTAAAGCAGAGCAGAAACTTGTATTATTAGCACTTGAAGCTTACTCCAGGTTCCTGTTTTTAAAAAATCAATACTGTAAAGAAAAAGCAGCTTTAGGAGAAAAAGCTGGAAAGCTACACGATTTAGCAGAAATAAAGGACTAGCTAAACACTTGATCGGGATTAATTAGGTTAAACTACTCTGTTTTCTCCAGGACCTTTCTCAGAATAAAGTTCATTCCCCACCCTCCCTCCTCCGCCCCAGTCCAAAACACTAATCTCCCATGCTATTTGTTACAAAGAATTCTCTTGTGTTAAACCTAAGAAATCCCAAACCAAGATTTTGGACCAGCATAAAGAGGGTCTCCCAAAAGATGATGTAGATGTGCAGTTATTTCTCTTTCAAAACATCTATGCTGTTAAATTGCTAAGAAACTAAGAAACAACATGAATATGTTTTTCTTTTTACCTGTTTCTTTGTAGACATAATCATAAAAAAAAAGTAAAAAGAAAAATGATTATGCCAGGCACCTAGCTAGTTAAATACTGATTCACATTTGATTTAATTGACAATTACCATCTGGATTTTCGTAGATATGGAAATAATATTGATTCTACAAATCTTCGTGTCTGAGTACAAATGAAAGATGAGTTAACATCAGACTAATTATTAGCCAGATGAGATAGTGGTCCAGAGTCAAAAGGAGATTAGGAATGAAAGAAATCTCAATACAGTTTTAAGGTATCAAATTCATTCTCCTGAGTTTCCTAACATTATTTCATTTTTGAATATTACAATTTTAGCAGTTCAGATTTATCCTCAGAGAAAAGCAGAAGTATTTGCAGATGAAAGCCAAGCTCAGATTAATTCACTAATGGAATTTTCATATTTAGCAAGTTGCTAAAAAGAAAGCTCACACTCGACTTCTGCAAAATATTTAACTATGTACCATAAAACATTAAAATTAAGGAAACTAGATAGTCATCTGTTCTTCAAGAAACATTATCCAAAAGTATCCTATTCTCAACCACCAGTACAGGAGCAGCAGCTTCTTTTGGCCATTAGTATAAAAGCCAGGTGTTACCTGGTTCCTCTGCCATATACAGTCTAAGAGGACTAAGACTATTTTAACAGCAAAGAACTGACTCATAAGGATCCAGAGAGACAAAGCTTTTCAAAAAGCCACAGTTTAACTAGTACCCGCTAGATCTGTTCAAAGCACTTGGATCTGACAGAACTGGGGTGCGTGTGTGTGTGATTTAAGAGCAGTACTAAGAGGGGGGAGGATAACTGGGAAGCATGGCAGATATCCCTGCCAAAGCTGGGGTATATCGTGGTAGCCTCTGTAAAAGCAGCAGCATACTGGGGAGGATGTATCTAACCTTCACTACAAACTTCAGAAAAGTGTCAACATGGGCTACCTGATGAGACCAAAGGTTGAGGAGTATTCTTCTGCAGGACTGCTGCAGCAGAGGCAAAACACTCAGCAAATGGAAGACTACCTACCAGAAGACAATGCTGAGAACATCCACTCTGTTATAAACCAGTGCTGTCACTTTTCTTATAGGCCTTCAGGAGCATAATCAATGATAAAGTGTTGGTTGAAAGTTTTGCCTCATGGCATTCAGTCCAAACAACGACTTGTAACCGATGTTTTGGAAGGACAAAACTCCAGAGACAACCAATCACACCGCTACTAATAAGCCCCCTTCTCAGGTTCTGGCAATTTACAGCTAGAGGATTTCCTGGATCAGAAACGTTTTGTACGTTTAATAGGCTGCAATGAATCATTCTGTTCCTGAACTGCCTAACTGCTTTCGATACCTATTTCACCTTGGTCATCCATTAAAATAGCAGTAATCCCCACAGTTCAATTGCGGCCATATGGAAAAAGTTGCTTTTGCTTAAACCTGTCTCTTTCTAGGGAGACTGAAGCTTCTTAAATCTCTTACTACCAAAGCAAAAAATAGTAAAAAATTGTTTGTTATTCACGTTTTCCATGCTGTTCACCTGCTACAGAAGGCTTTTGCTTAAAACATTCATGATTGTTATCCTTCTCTGCATTTTTCTTATTCCATTACCCACTTTGAGATAAGGAAAGGAGAGGAAGAACAAAACTCAACATTCAATTTATATCAAAACACAGATTTAAAAAGTGGCATGACGTTTTCTGTTTTGCTTTCTATTTCCTTCCTAGCAGCTTCTAATTGCCTAGATGTTCAGTTCAAGTGCTAGAAAAAACAGACCACTTCAAATATTTTCACACTTCAAAAAAATTGAATTGTGGTAAAAACATTAACTTAGATTGAAACAGTAGCAAAACAGTCTGCATCATAGCAGCCTGGAATAGAGAAGGCTTTGATTCAAATCTGTACTCTATTTATTCAGATCGTAGAGTTTGGTGTCTGGCAGTGTAGGGGCTCATGACTAAGATTCTGACAACCCATGAGCCCCAGGTCACTAAATATGAAACAATGCACTGGGGGGGGGGGGCAACAAAACAAAACATAAACAAGAACACTGTTTAAGTAGGTCTCTCCAGAAGGTATTTCTACACAGATAGAATAGGCCAATACACCACAATAAAATTTCATCTAGTTGAAAATGTCTGCACCCACTCTAAAATATCCTCACTACTTGGCACTGGTATGACCACTACTGATATCCTGCATGTAGTTCGGTGGCCTACAACTCAGGAAGGATGTTGGAAATTGAAGAACTGCCAGAAACAGCATCCCATGAATATTAAGAGAATAGCCTCATGGAGAAAGTCTTGGAACTTAAGTTGGCTTATCAAAATACTAGGCTACAAGAGAAATTAAAAGGCATAGACTGATCAAGTTAAGTGCATATAGGGGAAATCTCAAGTATGACAGTGTTTCAATACAGCATAAAGGTGAAAGATGACACAACGGGCAGGGAATGAACCTAGACAAAGTCAGATTTAATAAGATGCTCATTTACCATTTAAAGGTAATCACCTTATCAGAAATTGGGAAGGCTTTTACATTGTCAGAAGACACAAGAACATAAGAAATTTGTTCATATATGCTAGAGTACTTACCCACAACCAATGCAAGTGAACCAAGGTATCTGATCACCTTTAACAGTTGTCACGTAACAGTTGCCTCTCCTGATGCTCATATCAGATGGTATGAGCACAGACAGTACATATTTTGATCACTTCAGTTATTTCCTTTCCTTTGTACTTTTTCCCATCCCTAAAAAAGGCCTCTACTGTTTGAGCATTGTATTTCATGAATGTGAATGTAATTACAGTGGCTTTATACAGGAGTACTTTAGGAATTCTTAGAAATCTAATGCAACACTAGCTTATTTGAGGTAGCATAAAGAGAAAACAGAAGAAAACATCATGCTGAAGGAAGAAAATGACCTTTTCTATCCCTTCCATCTTTATATAAATTGATGATCTTTTTAATTAAAATTCTCAGTGTCAGGATTATTAATAAATCTCAGAAAAATGTTAGGAAAAACAGTAGTCATCTTCATTTAGGAAATCAATCATCTGTACTACACTTCATTAAGTTTTTATACTACAAGCTTTATGCCAAAATAATTTGCTATTACATAAAAGCACAAATGGTAATTTGCACACCAGGAAGCAATTAAAAAAAAAATTTGGGGGGGATTAATCTCAGACAGCCAGTGTAACCAAACAATTAAATCCTAGTAGCCAGTGAAATACTAGGACATGCTTATCATCAATGCACACCCTGTATCTGAAAGGTTCCAAATACATTTTTAGTGGTCATCTTCCACACTGTTAAATACTGCTCAGATTTAGCCTGGAGTCAGGGAATACAGGAATAAAAAAAAACCAAACCAACAAACACAACAAAAATATCTCTATATTCTTAACTCTGTGTTAGAAATTCAGAGAAAGTAAACTTTTAAAACACCTGCCAACTACATCATAGCACTAAACAGAGCATTCATTTTCTTTCATGCTAAGACATTCATTAACTTTAGCAAACTTCAAGTTAAATATTTTGCAGTATTGAAACAATGTATCTTAAAAATACAATGTTACTCTTTCAAGGAGACCTAGCTTATTTGATTGAAATACCAGACCCCACGTTACACAGAAATTATTGTAAAATCACCCAACTCTTTAATTAAAAAATAACACATGATAAAGTCGATACTTAAACACTACTTGTTTTACTGCTATTAAGTTCATGTAAAAAAAGACATATAAATTTTTTTCCCCAAGTGAAATATCACAATGTAAACATACTCTACCACTGTGCAATTCCACTCCATAGAATTCAAGTGTTCGTGCAATATTTATGTAGCAGGACTCCGCTTCAGATTGCTTGAGGCCACTGAAAGAAGGGGAAAAAACTTTATATATATATATATATATATGGACCATAGTCAAAAGTAAAAAAACCATTATATTATATTTATTCCAAATGCAGAAAAACAGAAGAATCCCCCAGCCCAGTGTCTGACAAATAAACCTCATTAACTAGTGCCACGAGTTCTTCACTGGTGAATGCCCTCCTAAACTCCTCTCAAAAATCAAGCAAATTATACACAATGTTACTACCCTCACCATTTTGGACCAGTTCTTTCAGAAAAATCATTTGTATCTGTTTTGTTTAGAGATGAGGAAATGATTCCCCTATAAAAGCTTCTTTTATAGCAAGAAGCTGTATCTGTAAATATTCTATATTGCATAGTCTCTCAGAAGGAAGTAATTTAGAAGAAAGATTAGAAGCAGAAATGTACTAAAAAAATAAGGGGGAAAAAGATGATTAAATTAGTTAAAAGTTGTGAAACTTACCAATGAAAAGCTGAGTTTATCTACAATCTCTAAGTCCTAAAATACTTTTTTTCCTCCTGCTGCCAGATGTGAAATGTGCTGCAAGACTTACAAGGACTGTATCCTCTAGTCTTCTACAAAGCTTCTACTATTCTGAGACTTTTTTTTTCCCCCCAGAGGCAAAAACTCAAAAATCCCCACAGCTCGAATAAATGGATCATATATCTTCATGGAAGGGCTACATGGAATCTAACAGGAGTTTTAAAAAACAAAGAATCCTGTAGTAATCCCTGCCTAGCTGGTTCTCCCATGCAACCTACTGACTATTCATCTGAAAAGAATGCAATGTGGCCTAAATAAGATTCCTTTAGGCATGATAAATGAAAGTAGCCCCTTCCAATAAATTGCAGGGCCAAACCCAGTCAAGAACCAATCAGATGAGAGGCAGCGCTAACCTGGAACCTGTCGTAGCCTATTGACATTGTGCTGTGCCCACAGTGCTCCTGGTCTCACAGCACAGATCAGCGATTCAGGCACTACAGCACGTTCGAGTAACAAGAGGCTGAGGGATGCGTGTAATATCTACACACATCTAAGCAGAAAAGACATCCAATATCATCCTATCATATCTGCAACTAAGTGCAGATAAAAACAATTCTTTGCTAGGTGAGCTTCCAAAACGACATGTATAAAATTACATTAATCAAAACACAGTTTAAATACAACCTGTAAAAAGCTGACGTAACATTGTGTTAAGAACTCCAGATACAAAGGCATTCCACATAAGGCAGTAATTCTCATTTTTAAAAGGGGCTTTACCTCAGAAGGTGGACATCTATTACTTCCAATTAATATCCAGCCTTTCAAATTCCAGGCCATCAAAATACCATACCCTGAAACAGCCACTTAAGGAAATACTACATCATGCTCCATGAAACTGAAAGTTACCTTGAACTGGAAAGCCATTGCCAGCAGTGTGGCTTGAAGATGTCACAATTTTGCAAAAAAGAGCAAAGACCAAAAAAAGACCTGTTTGTCACAATCCTGAGATAAACTGCTTACTCAGGTCTACATCTACAGTGACTACTGTCACCTTGATTTTGACAAACATTGGTAGACCTTATTTCTTTCACTGTGTCAGAAAGGTAGAGAAAAGCACCACAAAAAGACCATTTTATTATACAACAGGATGCTGACTATGTTTGCAAGAGTACATTATTTTCATTTTTTAAATTTTGATCGAGAACTTTGTTCAGAGAGATGGGGGTACCATCTGTTGCATACCAACAAGATATGCCTGCAAATTTTAATTATCCATTTGCATACACCATCTACACTAGACCAATCAAGACTTGTGTCTTGAAGGGCCAACAAGAAAAAGTATCTCAGCACAGACTTAGGTTTTTCTTGTTGTTGTTACACCTCCCTACTCATTTAGAGATGAAATGAAACCTTGAGGTCCCTAAGCAGGCGGTAGTTACTTGGTGAGAGATAAACAGGCAAGAGGAAACAGGCCTTGGTGTCTCTTTCCAATTTTTATAGCTGTTGATACTCAAGAGCTAACAAACATCATCTGGAATATAACCATCATATCATGTTCATAGAACTATTTTCTCAGATTTTGCAAAACAACATAAAAACCAGCTAAAAAGAAAACTTCCATTGAGCTACAACATTCAAGACATAACATGGCTTCTGAAGACTGTATCGTGTTTCAGCAGTTCCAGCCTTTTAATTTTCCTTTGTGAAAGTTTCCCAAAGAATGGACACTAAAGAATGAAAAAGGGTAGATGTTTATAGGGCTGGCTTTGCAATCCTGTAATCTATGAATGCCAATTTAAAAGGGATAATAATTTACAGATATCCCATATGGTCTACAGCAAACATTATTTACCCCAGCTCAGCAGAAATCTCATTCCAAAACAACACTCTTCTCAAACTGTAAGAAGGTAAATTCTCCCTTTCTGTCTTTCCTTCTCTGAAGGCCTAGTAAACACCAGAACCATTCTTGTCAAGTTATGTTACTGGCACTGATCTAGTGAAAACTACATCTCAGATGTAAGTATTCACTATGAATGCCAAAGGAGAGTGCAAGAAATACTGCCAGGATATTCAATAATTTGTCTGCCTCTCCCTGCACTCCAAAATTAATAGGCCTGAAGACCTAAGTTTCAAAGAAGGTGTTAAGACAATATTTCCCAGTCTGGTCTGCTCAAGCATTTTTATTCAGAACTTCAGTTACCACCACCTATGTGAATTCAAATACAGAAATTAAACTTCTCAGTCATCAAGGCTTCGTTCTACCAAAAACACTCAATGAAAGCATCAATTTCACTGAAAGGACCCCGAAAAGAAAGGAGTCTTTCCAACAGACCCCACCATGCCTTTGTCTGGACCAATGGGAACTTCTAGTCTTTCCTCTGCAGGACATAACCAGTTTTATATCTCTGCCTAAGATAGCACAAAATCCGTGAGTTCAACCCAACCACTTAAAGACTCTTCAGAATCTTCCCTCAGTGGCCTCTGAGATAACTTCTTCCTAAAGACAAGCAGATTTATTGATGCCTGTCTACAAGTTCCCCTCTAAAAAATTCTGAGCCTACTGGAAACTGCAAATTAATTTGGAGGGAGTAGAGGCCTGAGCTGTTGTGTTTCTGAGCATGAACTGCTAGAAAAGCAGTCCAGATTAACACCTACACAGAGGGAATGGTTGCAGTTAGAGCTCAGTGGTTATCTCTTCTTTCATCCCATAAATGACAAAGCAGAGTGCATGTTCTGGACTGCTAGGCAGCACACATGAAGTTCAGAACAACTCACTAAACCCACTAGGCGTAAAGAACCAAGAGGGAGAGGTGAGAGTACTGAAAGAAGACAAAAAAAGTTGAGGAATATCAGGGGGAGATGAAAATAGAGATATTTCAGGGTATAAACCAAAGAAACTAGGAGTGTAGAGAACTAGCTCTACTGCAGTAAAGATACAGAGAGAACAAGCCCATAGAAGTTCAGATTTCATTTGCCTAAATGCTCACAGACAATTTCTTGGGTTGGCATATTTGCATTCAGCTTGTGAGTATCTGATCAACACCACTAATTCTAAAGCTGCAGTCTTACAAGAGACAAATCAGCAGGGTCAGAAAGAGTAATGAGCAGTGGACTGGCTGGAATAATCTGTTGTAGCCTTTACATTACACTCAGGAGAGTGGAGAGAAAGCACAATGTTAATTGAAGTGTTCCTTCCCCCCCCCCCCCCCCCCCCCACAACACAA